ACCAAAAGTATTCACTCCTCTGCCTTCACACGCATATGAACTTGAGTGACATCCCATTCTTAATCCATAGAGTTCAATATGATGTCAGCCCATCCTTTGCAGTTGTAACAGCTTAAGTTTTTCTGGGAAGGCTTTCCACAAGGGTTAGAAGTGTGTATATAGGAACTTTTGACGCTTCATCCAGAAGCGCATTTGTGAGGTCAGGCACTGATGTTGGATGAGAAGGCCTGGCTTGCAGTCTCCACTCCAATTCAACCCAAAGGTGTTCTATCGGGTTGAGGTCAGGACTCTGTGCAGGCCAGTCAAGTTCTTCGACACCAAACAGTCATGTTGGGGTCGTCCCCAAACTGTTCCCACAAAGTTGGGATTGTCCAAAATCTCTTGGTCTGCTGAAGCATTAAGAGTTCCTTTCACTGGAACTAAGGGGCCGAGCCCAACTCCTGGCATCCACCAAACCCAGACTCGTCTATTGGATTGCCAGACGGAGAAGCATGTTTCGTCACTCCAGAGAACACGTCTACACTGCTCTAGAGTCCAGTGGCAGTGCTTCACACTACTGCATTCAACGCTTTGCATTGTGCTTGGTGATGTAAGGCTTGGATGCAGCTGCTCAGCCATGGAAACCCATTCCATGAAGCTCTCTGTGCTGTTCTTGAGCTAATCTGAAGGCCACATGAAGTTTGGAGATCTGTAGCAATTAACTCTGCAGAAAGTTGGCGGCCTCTGCGCACTATGTGCCTCAGCATCCGCTAACCTCGCTCTGTCATTTTATGTGGCCGACCACTTTGCCGTCATTCCCAATCACTTCCATTTTGTTGTAATACCACTGACAGTTGACTGTGGTATATTTAGTAGCGAGGAAATTTCACTACTGGACTTGTTGCACAGGTGGCATCCTATCATGGTACTACGCTGGAATTCACTGAGCTCCTGAGAGCGACCCATTCTTTCACTAATGTTTGCAGAAGCAGTCTGCAGGCCTAGGGGCTCGGTTTTGTACACCTGTGGCCATGGAAGTGATTGGAACACATGAAGTCAATGATTTGGATGGGTGAGTGAATACTTTTGGCAACATAGTGTATGGAAGCATCTCAAATCAGAATTGAAGATGTCACATTCAATGCATTTATTGCTGTTCACACTGACACACAGACCCACATCTGTGTCACATACAGAGAAAAAGATAGTATTTGGGCTTTTACCTGCTGTGTAAACCTAGCCAAAGACTCCACCTTAGGTTTTTTGTTTTTGTTTAAAGTTAAACATGATTTTCTGTTAGTTGTTGTTCTTGGCAGACTCTGCACTCCATCCTGCACAACTTACTGAATGTTTACAGCCTACTGCACTTACAACTTATCCTGAGCTTCACGGTTGTACATACAACGATCAGGCATAACATTATGATTGTTTCTATGTTCATTGTCCATTTTATCAGCTCCATGTACTATATAGGTGCACTTTGTAGTTATACAATTACACAGTGTAGTCCATTTGTTTTTCTGCATACTTTGTTAGCCCCCTTTTACCCTGTTCTTCAGTGGTCAGGACCCCCATGGATCCTCACAGAGCATTTGGGTGGTGGTGATGTGTTAGTGTGTTGCGCTTGTACGAGTGGATCAGACACAGCAGTGCTGCTGGAGTTTTTAAACACTGTACACTCACTGTCTACTCCATTAAACACTCCTACTTTGTCAGTCCACTAGGGGTGGGAATCTCTAGGCACCTCACGATTCGATTACGATTCAGAGGGCTGCGATGCGATTACAAAGCGATTATCGATGCATCTCGATGCATCTTTTTTTTTCTATACAGCATTTATATGTTCTCACTGTGTGAGTTCACGTTTCAAGTTTATTTGTTACTTGCACATGTCAGGACATTATGCATTGAAATGCTTGTGGTGAGGCTCAGCTAATCACTGTACAGAAAGAAAATAATTAAAAATAAAAATACAAGAAAAACTAACTGACATATATTAAATATATACAAAATATACACAGAATATAGAGACAATATATATTTTAAAGTGACTAAGTGACTCAGTGTTGTTATTTAAAGTGACTTGGTACTTTTAAACTAAAGTATTTGTAATGATCAATGATGAATTTACTTCCAATATCTCTTATTAATAAATCAAATGGAAGTGATGTGGTAAGTGAACTGGAAAGGCTCTCATTCACTGCTTTTGTTTAGAGCACATGAGACGCTGCTGCCACTCATCTGTGATTAAATAGTTACAGTGAAATAAGATCCCGTGGCAGTGGATGTCCGTGCAGCGTGTTACAGCTATTCTACCCGTTTTCTTTAGTGATTTTATAGCTTGGGTTTTGGTCTCGTTGTAGAGAGTGGGGCAGGGGAATCGCTGTGTCAATAAATATCTTTGAGACGGGGCATGTGCAGCATAGCGCGAAAGCCCTGTTTCTCAACGACTGAGAATTGGCATGCAGACTGCAGGTCACCTAGCAACAATGCGTTATTTGCATTTATAAGCAGCGCAGTTGGTTTCCTGGTACGTTAAATCTGCAACGAGAGACTGTCAAACAGTAAACAGTTACGAAGATGAAGTCACTTCTCTTTCTAATTTTCCTGCTCCACCTTTAAATGGTGTCACATTTACATTCGGCGCCTCAGTCAGAATTTAAGGTGGAACGGGAAAAACCGAATGAGAAGCGACTTCAGCCTCGTAAAACAGTCAAACGCTGAGAGACATTTTACAATAAGCTGCTCTAGTTTTGATTAAAAGTTTCCTGAGGGAAAGGGGAGGAAAGCGGCTAAAGCTAAAACTTAAAGCAGAGCGAAGGAAATCTGCGCTCTCGTTTATATTGTTTAGCCTATACTAGGACATCAGCACACACTGACACATACTGGACATTAATTGTTGCAGCTCCCAATGTGGTTTGTTTTTTGTTGAAGGGACAAAATGGCTCTTCTTATCATTTGGGTTGTGACTCCTGATCTAACCTGGCTTTTAATGCAGAGGGAGCCGGTCGGATTTCTCACTCATCCAGTAGTGTTTTTGTTATGTACCGCCACAGACTGTCCGGGCGCTGCGCTTACCCACTTCCAAGTTCCACCTTTTGCGTTCCGTCAACATTTCATTATAAATCAAATATTTAGAAAATCGATTTTTGACATTTGTTAATCGATTCAGAGTTGTTCACATCCGCGATGCATCTAAGAATCAATTTTTCCCCGCACCCCTACAGTCCACCTTGTAGATGTAAAGTCAGAGACGATAGCTCATCTGCTGCTGCACAATTTGTGTTGGTCATCCTCCACTCCTTCAGTTTTTAAATACCTCAGTGTCACTGCTGGACTGAGAATAGTCAACCAACCAAAAATATCCAGCCAACAGCGTCCTGTGACCACTGATGAAGGACTAGAGGATGACCAACACAAACTATGCAGCAGCAGATGAGCTATCGGCTCTGACTTTACATCGGAGTGTAGAGTGTACAGTGAGTGCTGGTCATCGCCTTCATTTTCTTCTGCATTGATAATTGCAACTTCCTCTTTAATGGTCTCCCTGCTAAATTGTTTAGCCAGCTTCAGTTCATTCAAATCCTCCATCAGCTTCACTGGTAACCAGTTTGCTCCCATCTCAAGTACAAACTTCCCCTGCTAACTTTCAAAGCAATTCATGGTCTCACACTGTATGCCTTAGTGAGCTACTCCATCCGTACTGTCTCTCATTCCTACCTAAAATTTTAAACTTGTCCAATTATGCTAAAAATGATGCATCTCTGATATATGGGCAGTCATGGGCTGGAGGTTAGGGGACCAGCCTTGTGACCAGAAAGTTGCTGGACTAATAAGGGTCACTTAATCTAATCTTAATCTAATCTAATAATCTCTACACTCTGCAAAACTACTTACATTACACATGATAGAGATGTTGGCGATCATGTAAAACAAAATGCATATCATGTTAAGCCCTCCAAAAGTGAAATTATGAGAAAAGCCTGGCACAGGCATTGGCCTATTTAATGAGAGATGAGGTCAGTGTCCTGCTTTGCTGTTGTACTCCAATCTTTTGTCAATGCCACCAAACATTCCTGAAAGCATGTAGCTCCAAACATATGACTTTCATTCTGGCTAGATAAACATTTCTTAAAGATCTTTCTATATCACCTTTTCACATGTTTCCTTTATTGATTTATTAGCTTACCAATATCATCCAAGGTTTTTAAAATTTTTTTGATATTTAGTTGTTTATTTATTTTTATCTAATTTGTGACTCAAAGCTGCTATATGTTAGCAAGCTGGTAATAGTTTGGGAATACAGCCTAAATATAAAAGTTCAGCATTGTTTTAAAGACATAAATATTACAAAAATAGATTGCATAGATTGACTAGATTGAATCTGCTTCTTTATGCTTGAAAAGGAAAAAAATATGGCAATTGTATTTCATGCTATGATATGCTACAATAACATTTTATTGCTTTTACATTAGTTGTTTAGAGCAAAAATAAGTTTTACACATGCTGCTAACACCTGAACAGAAGGAAGCACAGCTCCAGCCTTTTGAAAAACACTCCCACACAAAGTCCATTCTGCCGTGCTACAGACAGTGAAAATGCAGCTCCAAACAGGACTAAATGCATGTTTATTTTTGCAGAGCTGAAGCATGATAATGAGGAAATGCCCCTGCAAATGGGGGGACTTCTGTTCTGCCTGTTAAAATAGGGTCTCGCATCTCCGGTCCCGGAAGGCCAGTGTCCCATACAGTTTGTTGATTAACGTGCTCATACACACCTGATTACACTTGTGTTAATTAGCAGGTTTAGGAGGTGTGTTTGACCAGAGAAACTACCAAACTGTGCTGGACTGTTGATGTGTACCCATGTTAAGACAATTAAAAATGAAATGGTAAAAAGACATTATTAAGAATAAGAATGTTGTGCATTTCACATTTAAAAAGCCGCTACTGTTGAGTTGCTGAATTTGTCACCATTTTATTGAATGTGACCTTTTACTTTTTCCCCTTTTTCTCTTCCAGAAAGAACTGACCTCCTGTAACAAGTTTTCTTCTGCTACTGGTGTTCACTTTCCTGCTTAATTTACCTGCACAAAAACATACAGTAGCACCACCATAAGGAACACATCACAATGTTAACATTAGAAAAGATTAAATGTGAGGACATGGTGTCCAGAAGTTTTAGTACTCAGACATCCTCATTTTGTGGAAAGAGTTTTACTTTACAGACTGATCTCCAAAGACACCAGTGCATTCATACAGGAGAAAAACCGTATCACTGCTCAGAGTGTGGGAAGAGTTTTACTGCAAAGAGAAGTCTCCAAATACACCAGCGCATTCACACAGGAGAGAAACCATATCACTGCTCAGAGTGTGGAATGTGTTACATTAGACAGAGTGATCTTCAAACACACCAACGTATTCACACAGGAGAGAAACCGTATCACTGCTCAGAGTGTGGACAGAGTTTTAGAGAAAGTGGTACCCTCAAGAAACACCAGCGTATTCACACTGGAGAAAAACCATATGACTGCTTTGAGTGTGGAAAGAGTTTTAGTAGACTGAGTAGTCTCCAAAGACATCAGCTTATTCACACAGGAGAGAAACCATATCAGTGCTCAGAGTGTGGAAAGAGCTTTAATAGACAGAGTAATCTCCAAATACACCAGCGCATTCACACAGGAGAGAAACCATATTTCTGTTCAGTGTGTGGAAAGAGCTTTACTGTACTGAGTCACTTCCAAAGACACCAGCGTATTCACACAGGAGAAAAACCGTATCACTGCTCAGAGTGTGGAAAGAGTTTTACTGTACTGGGTCATCTCCAACGTCACCAGCACATTCACACAGGCAAGAAATTGTATACCTGCTCTGACTATGGACAGAGTTTTAATCAACAGATTAATCTCTTAACACACCAGCACATTCACACAGGAGAGAAACCGTATCACTGCTCAGAATTTGGACAGAATTTTACAGGGAATGGTTCCCTCAAGAAACAGCAGCGCATTCACACGGGAGAGAAACCATATCACTGCTCAGAGTGTGGAAAACGTTATAATAGACAGAGTGATCTTCAAATACACCAACGCATTCACACTGGAGAGAAACCCTATCACTGCTCAGAGTGTGGAAAACGTTATTGTAGACAGAGTGATCTTCAAATACACCAACGCATTCACACTGGAGAGAAACCCTATCACTGTTCAGAGTGTGGACAGAGTTTTACGGAAAGCGGTTCCCTCAAGAAACACCAGCGCATTCACACAGGAGAAAAACCCTATCACTGTTCAGAGTGTGGACAGAGTTTTAGGCAAAGTGGTTCCCTCAAGAATCACCAGCGAGTTCACACAGGAGAGAAACCATATCACTGCTTAGAGTGCGGACAGAGTTTTAGAGAAAGCGGTACCTTCAGGAAACACCAGCGTGTTCACACAGGAGTGAAACCATATCATTGCTCAGAGTGTGGACAGAGTTTTACACAAAGTGGATCCCTCAAGAATCACCAGCGCATTCACACTGGAGAGAAACCGTATCACTGCTCAGAGTGTGGAAAGAGTTTTAGAGATAGTAGTAACCTCAAGAAACACCAGCGCCTTCATATAAGAGAGAATCCTGATCACTGCTCAGAGGGAAAAGCTTCCGAAGTTCAAATTTAAAGACAAATGCATGAAAAGGTAAAAATGTATAAAAACATAATAAAACATTTTAAATACATTGTTTTTCAAAGGAGGCTGTTTTCTGGTGTTGTAAAACTTAAGGAAGTAATGTATATCATAGCTAATAGCATCCAAAGTCTATTAAATAGAAGTTCCAAGATATCACAATTGTACTTTTCTGTAGGTGTTCCTTGTATATCATTTTGATAATTGTGAAGAATCAGTTTTGGCTGACTAAAGAGAAACAAATCATGATGATATTTTTTATGTTTTTCTCTGTTCTTTGTAGAGAGATTTGAGAACTGAAGAGACCTGTTCGACCTGTTACCAGCTCTGTAAGAAGGCGTCTTGATCCATCCAAGCCTCTTCCCAGACACACAGCGTCAAGTGATTCAACTCAGGAAAAATAAAATGCATCCACCAATCAGCAAGCTGTTCAAGCCCAAGCAGACAAACAGAAGCTGCAGTTTCATCTTCTGTGTATAAAAAGAAATAAAAAGCCACAACCAGCTCTGCTGTACTGAGTGAGAAGAAAATGGTCCTGACTGAACCTCCATCTGAACTTCACAGTGGTGAGTTGAGCTATGCCATTCTTACTGAATAACAATCACTGAATAAAAGATGGAAACACAGGTTATCCTACAGTTTTCACTGTTGAAGTTTAATGTTCTTGAATGGTTAATTGTAAATATTCTAGGTTTATTGTTAGTGGTATTTTATGATTTGAAGATAAGGTTTTGTCATTGTAGACCCTTACGTTTTGCCTTGAGTATAAATTTTTTAATTGTTCCACAATGTTTCATGACTGTTGGCTCCTGAAGGATAATTTAAGGTTCAGAAAATGGTCCCATAAAATTTTTGGCCAATTTGAGGAAATAATGGTGGCTGGCTGGAGTTTTTGAGCTGATAGAAGAAAACAAATGTATCTAGGCATTTTATTTGATGGAGACAGTTGAACAATTTCTGAACAATTAAACTTTGACAGCGTACAGATTTAAAGTTTGAGAAATGTATGAAGGTGTTAGGTATGTGGAAGATGGCCTCGACCACGTCTCACTGTTAGCTAGTAAATATAATTTTGTGATACATTTCCATGATTTCTTCTGTCAAAGATACAGTTGTTTTAGGTGTAGGGTTGCCTGCTGAGTAAAATAATTTTTTGCATGTCATACTGCTGGGCAGAATGTGGTGCAATCTTTCTTTTGAAATCCAGTATCTGATGGACAAGGCTTATGGCATGTGAAAGTCTGCCATTTCTAGTGACACAAATCAATGCAATTAAACATAAATGGGGGGACCAAAATAATCCACTTTTTTCAGCAAGGTCTGGTGGAATTCATATGGTGCAAACCCATACCCCCAGAAAATGTAAACTTTTTTGCAGTACAGCACACAGTTGGGCAGAAATGGGTGAGAAATCTCAGGGAGGAAAAACAGTGAGTTCTTATAGGTAGTAGGTAATGATACATTGAGGTTGGCTTACCTTTTCGGTTTATTGGTCCTGGAGATCTACCACCCTGCAGAGTTTAGAAACAACCCTTACCTAAGACACCTGATACATGTAATGAAGGCTTTCAGGGGCTTCTGAATACCAAACCCAAATTCTTTAGATCTGAGGGAACAGTTAGCAATAATATGAAGATTGAAATCTCTGAATAAAATCATAGCAGGATGCAAAACTCAGGCTAATGTAAGCTTTTTATAAAATCATAAGTAAATAAGTTATCCTTTATTAATTCCACAACAGGGAAATTCACCTCCGCATTTTACCCATCTATGTAGTGAAACACCCACACGCACGCTAGTGAAGACGCATACTGGTAGGGGGCAGTGAGCACACTTGCCCAGAGTGGTGGGCAGCCCTATCCATGGCATCCGGGAAGCAGTTGGGATTTGGTGCTTTGCTCAAGGGCACCTCAGTCACGTCCTGTCAGTTCAAGGGATCAAACTGGCAATCTTGCGGCCACAAGGCTGGATTCCTAACCCTTAGCCCACAACTGCCCCTTTCATGCAGTACGCAGTTGGAGATAGATCTAGGAGGGCAATAAATTAGAACTGTAAGCAGAGGAAATGAACCAACAATTTTTAGCACCATGCGTTCATATGACATTTTCTTTTTTAAAAACAAATTCTGTAATTTTTAGACTATAGTTGTGGACAACAGCCAAATCTCTCTCCTTTCAAGTGAAGTTTGGATACACATCTATACCCATGTAGTGTCAGCATACTAGGATGCTGACAGTAATCTAGCTGTTGCCAGGTTTCAGTACATGTTACACAGTAGTTGTTACTGTACATGTGGTGAAGGAGAGGAACTAAATGAAGGATATCAATGAAGGATATCATGGATTTCAAGGATTGAATAAGTCAGCAGTCTTAAAGCAAATATTCCACTGAAACCTAGGACCACTTGTTTACATCCTGTAAAGGACATAAATGTGACAGTGGAGTGCCTGAACCACATGGTGCACCACCAACACCAGCCATTAAAACTCACCAGCCATTAAAAACTACTACCAGTAGGTTTAGAGATCTGGCAGGCTGGTGCAGAAAAGCAGCAGGTCAGCAACAGGTAGCCTCCTCAGATAGTCCAACAGTCCAATGGGTTCAAAGATCAGGCAGGCCAGTGCAGAGAAGCAGCAGGTCAGCAACATGTGGCCTCCCCAGATAGTCCATCAGTCCAGTCAGTTACTGTAAAGTGGAAATGCCATTAAGCATCAACAGCTCAGTGGTGGAGCAGCAGACAAAACGAGCTAATAGAAGGAGAACACCAAGCAATAAAGCATGTACTGTGAAAACATACAGTAGGTAGTTATAGCAACAAAATTGGGACCAACTCCATATAAAATTTATAGTAGTGGTGTTGGCATGAGATCTTCAGAATCAGAACCACTTTATTTTACAAAGTATGTTTCCCTTACATAGAAATAGTCCTGGTGTCAAGTCAAACAAAGTGATGTGTGCATATCTATACATAGAGCTTAAGTTGATTTATCTTTAATTGAAGTCCTTCCCTTAACCATCTAAAAGTACTGCACTCACACTGATCACTTTAAAATAGAGCCGACAGCATGACTCTGATCAAAACAGCTTTTTTTATTCATTAGTTAATTTCTCCTACAAGAGAAATGCAGAACTAATACTTGCAGTACAGCTCGACTCTAGACAACTGGCGACCATTTGAATATATGAGGCTACTTTTATTTCATGAATCACTATTTTGTTGTGCGACCAGCAGTTCTGTGATGTTTAAGACTACAGGTGTTATCGTATATTCACATCATATGTTCTTTTTTTTCTAGCTGATACAAAATTTTTGCTATCAGGCTGATACTGACATTGAGTATCTGGTTGATACCATCTCTACTGGTGAAATATTATAAGTGCATTCAATGGTGTATCAATTGTAAAGTTCAAAATTCATTAAAAGAATTGAGAAATAAGAATATAACAACATAGTGGTTAATAAATATGTTAAATTGGATTGGAATTGGACGGAATTGCTTAGTTTTTCATAACATCAAATGTGCTTTGTTCAGTTTATTTGTAAACTGCTGCCATAGGTTAGCTGGTTGGTTTGCATGCTCTTAAAGGAAAGTTGTAATTCCTATTTTACATTATGAGACATAGTTCAGCTTTAGATGGAAACAGATCTAGACAGCTCTGTTTTGGGAATTAGCAAAATTTCAAAGCTAATTGAACTGTGCTCTTACAGAACCAGACATGATCTCATAATGATAGTACATATCTGGCAACACCATATTCAAAGTTTGGTAGTGGATGTTGATAAAATCCTCTGCAAATGAGGCTCCACCCACAGGCTTTCTTTTTAAACTCCATGTAGTATAAATGTTAAAAATTTTACTAGTGAAACAGTGGGTGTCTCTCATATCCTTCGTCATATGTTCTCATTTTCTCTTCTTGCATTCTTTTCTCACATCTTAGCTACTCCCTCTGAGGACATGAGGATAAGGTGGGAGGACGGAGGAATCAACACCAAAGATGCTTTCCAAATGAGATGGCCTTCACTCAGTTTTCACTTTAATCACCTGTTATGTACCTGATACTTTCACATGAGTAGCCTTGCTGAAATTCACACATTTACAGTACCCCTCCTTTACAGTGCCATCCAGAAATACATGCACATGCTCAAAACAGGCTATGAAAAAATCTTTTGCTAAAATCTGCTCTCAAGAACCAACACACCCAAGCACCTACAGTATGTCATATTTATTTCATGATAAGATTTAGTTTTCACTTTCAATCTATGTACTTTAAATAAAGATGAGACTTTTGCTAATATTTGAGTGAAAGAACAAAAGGATAAGTAATAATGTTTGCAACCTGTTTTGATCATGTGTACTGGGGTGCCACTATTTGTGCACTGTAACTATAGTCTTCAAGACAAGATTATTACAGTAAAATTAGAGTACTCCAGACTTGTCTGCCTTAGACATACATGTCCTTGTTCTGAAAACATCCTCTCCCCTCAATTCCTCTGAATGTAATCAAAGAATTTACACATGCTCAAAAATGGTGGATTTTACAGCTTCCAGCTTACCGGCTGAAGGACGGAGCAGAAAGGACTCTAGGAGGCACCAGTGTGATAGCAGCTGTTACTGAAGAGACCTTGTCCGTTCATTATGGCAGGGAATTCCCATCTCCCATATCATACTGAAAAGCACCTAATATACCAAGAAGTTATTTTAAAGGTCTCCAACTGCACTCAGCCAGCCATAAAGTAACCCCCCTGGACAGTGAACCATGTAGGAGGGACCCCTTCCCCACAGTATGACCCTTTTCTTGACCTGTGCTAAAGTACAGACTGGTTTATGACCAAACCAACAATTGGAATGCAAAGACACACAGTATTTAATGGGAAAACCACAAAAATCACAGTTTGACACTTTTCTATTTACAGCATTGAAATAGAAATTTCACAGGGCATTCATGATGTCATTTGTTGTTTGTGTGCTGATGTCATTTTGTGTAAATACATAATTCATTCTTTTACCTGAATTGAATGTGACCTATACAAAACATGTATCAAATGTAAAGTTGAAACACTGGGGTGACTTTCAAAGTTATGAGTCACAACTAGCGCAGTATGCACAACACTACATAGTAATTATATGACAGTGTGAGCGATGAAATGGGAATGCTAGCCCAAACACCTTCCAACCACAATTAGGAACTAACAGCATTAAGGTTATAAAAAGGTTCAATCTATTTAACCTTTCTATAACTGACAAAAGTACAAAGAACAGCTTTCCAATGTTAAAAGTATAGTATTTTATAGATATATGAGGAGTCTGTGGACATTGCTGTCTGATTTTCCTTTACATGATACTCCATACAGCAGACAGATCTGGACTGCAGGCAGGCCAGTCAAGCACACACACTTGTAGCATGTGCAGAATGAGGCCAGGCATTGTCCTGCTGAAATGACCATGGACTTCCCAGGAAAATACATTGTCTTGATGGCAGCATGTCTCTCTAAAGTCCTAATCTAAAGTCTGGGAGGTCCACTTTGGCACAGAGAACTCGATGTTCATTTTCCCAAAAAGCAAGCTGTCACTTGAACTCATCTGTCCACAGCACACATTTCCACAGACGTTTGGACCGTCTGAGATGAACTCAGACCCAGAGAACTCTGCAGCATTTCTGTGTAGAATTGATTTGTAGTTTTCTATTTACCTAATAGTTTCAAGTTGCATTTCTTGATGCAGTGGAGGACTGTGTAAAGGGACAACAGTTTTCCAGAGTACTCCTGAGCCCATTTGGCATATTCAACAGTGGTTTCCACCCTTGCCCTGCAAGGACTGATATTTCTCTGGAATTTCCTTTTTCACAATATTATGTATGGTAGATAGTGAAAACCTAAATTATTTGCAATATTACGTAGATAAGATAGATCTTTTTGAACATTTCTCTCACAAAGTTCAGCACAAAGTGGTGAGCCAAAACCCATTTTGCTTGCACAGCCTGAACATTTGTTGGATGTTCCTTGTATACCCAGCCATGATAACCAACTCACCCACCCACACACCCACCCACCCAGATAGATAGATTGATAGATGGATAGATTCAACCCAACCATCTGTGTATGACCTGCTTTTTGTAGTGATGGCAAACCGAAGTTTTCTGAACTACTGAAACTTTCCGTAAAAAGATTCATTACTCGAGGCCTCATCACCACAAGGTGTTTCATATATATTTTTTTAACAGATTTGTTAAATCTGTTCTCCAGTGCATTAAAAACATGACGTTTGTTGTATCAATAAAAACAACTGATAAAACTAAATCGTTTGTTGTGTATGTCTTCAAAATCTTATTGCTGTGTTGGGTACAAACATCCAGTGTTGAGCAGAATGCTTAGACAAAGTAGTGATGGCTGAATAATGAAATGTGTTCTATATTCTATATATGCATTTTATATTCTACTATTCTGATGTAATTATTACATTCACATTATTGCATACATTCTATTTTTCCAAAAAGCAAGATTCATGTGGGCTTGATGTATGATGTATTTAACATGTGGCAGAATTTTGTGCTAATGGATGTGAAAGTAGTGCTTTTGCAGTGGACATTTTATTTAATGGTGGGTGGTGCGATTGTGGACATGAACACGTATTATTCAGTTTTTGTTCAGAAATGAGATTTTTTCCACTGTGCATGACCAGAATCTCAAAGGCTCATCAGACCTTGGAATAATTGGGTCAGCAAGGTACCTCTGAACCTCAACAGTGGCATCTACCTTATTTAATGGCAAAAGTTCAAAGTGTTCCCAAACTACAGAACACCCTCTTTTTCTTGCTGGTTAAATTCCACTTGCTATTTGTTTTAGTTTTGGTTTCTCTCTTCTCAATCCTTGAATGACCCTTGAAGAGCGACAAGAATTTACTACTTTTTACTACTTTTGAATGAGTCAGTGGTCACATGATCATTGTAGAATGAATTGAGCTTCAACACAGTGGTTTGAAGCAACCAGTGTCATTTTTGTGACACATGCCTTGAAGCTTCAGGTTCAAGGGTGACATCATTAGTTTTTTTTATTTTTGCCGTGTTTGCCCTTTTGGTTTGATTGCTGCACATTATTGATCTCTTGTTTTTTTTTACTTGATCTGGTTACTGGATTCTTTTTGAACGTCCCCCTTGGTTTGGTTATTGTGCTCTGTAGTCTTGACACTGGCATGTTCTGACTATGCTCCGTGAAACTCCAAAGCTCTCAAGTAAACTACAACCTTGTTTTTTAATCTGCAAGTGTCTGATCTGTTTCATCATTGTTCACCAGTAGTGACTGCCACTGTTAATCCATCATCTCCTGTCCCAGTTGCTCCCTTCAGCATTAGTAAGCAAGATAAAAATGACAGTTCAGTGGACAAATGCGAGGGTTTTTTTGCTGCAGTCCTCACTGTATTTTTGTAATTTACCAACTTGTTCTGATCATGCCTTTGGTACCAGTAGCCCTTGAACAACTCACAGAAGCTAAGATATTCACTAAACTTGATCTCCGTAGCACATATAACCTTATCCGCAATAAAGAGGGGGGTGAGCGGAAAACCGCTTTCTCTACTAACAATGGCCACTGTGAATACTTGGTAATGCCATTCAGACTCTCCATAGCACCGTGTGCCTTTCAGTCTATCATTAATGATGTACACAGAGAGATTCTTGGAAAATTTGTAATTGCCTATCTAGATGACATTTTAGTTTATTCCCGATTTTGAGACCCACATTCAACATGTTCACCAGGTATTTCATAGACTTTTAGAGAAACAGTTATATGCCAGCGGAGAGAAATGCGAATTTCATGTACAAAGGATTTCATTTTTTGGTTATCAGCCCAGAAGGTGTAATTATGGATGATTGCAAGATTGATGCTATTAAGAACCGACCTGTTCCCATCCCCATTAAGGAGTTTCAACAATTTATTAGGATTCACCAATTTCTACCATTACTTCATCAGGAATTATAGTACTTTAGCCGCCCCTCTCACTTCGCTCCTAAAGGGTGCACGTAAGTATCTAGTGTGGAGTCCACAGGCTGAAAGAATCATTCACTTTAGCACCAATTCTAGTTCACCCTGATCCAGCAAGACCATATGTTTTAGAAGTAGATGTTTGGACATACAATTGGGAGCTGTTTTTCCCAAGCTTCTTGTAGTACTTGTAGGCTTAATCCAGTCACATTTTTCTCCCTTAAGCTCACATCTCCCAAAATAAACTACGGTATTGGTGATAGACAGGTTCTTGCAATAAAATTAGCTTTAGACTAATAGCAACATTGGCTAGAGGGGTCTAAACACCCTTTCCTTGTTCTAACTGACCACAAGAATGTTAAATATTTATGAAATGCAAAACATCTCAACCTGCTTCAGGCTGGTCGGTCTTTGTTTGTCTCCCATTTTCATTTCACGATCACTTATAGGCCAGGATCACACAATACCAAAGTTGACATTTTCCTGCAGCCTTGGAAGGGGGAAAGAGAAGGAATCGCTTGATCCAGCAGAGAACATTATTGCCCCTGAATGCATAGTGGCCACTGTTAGATGGGCGATAGACGCAATAGACCAAGCTCTAGAACAATCACCTAGTCCCCCAGCATCGTCCAAGCAGCTGGCCCAGCAGCCACGTATCTACGATGTCATGTCGATCACATCCCTGGTTCAGGCAGCCTGGTAGCCATAATACAGCATCACTCAAGTGGCCAGTTCAAGCCATGTTATAGCTGTAATATAGCATCACCCAAACACCCAGTCCAAGACGTCTCTGAGCCATGGGTGGAAAATCACTTTTGGCTGCTATCTAGGTGGAATGAAGGCAAATTCCTAAGCCAACAAGGAAACCTTAAAACATTCACACAAACAATATAGAACGAAACAAATGAAAAACTATGTAAAGTGGCAGCAATATTGCACCAGTGCACTTACAACAGAATGAACAAGCGCATGCACGCACACACACACACACACACACACACACACACACACACACACACACCCCATCATGACAGGTGTGATAGGTGTTCTCGAGCATTCAGATTCATCCTTTTTACTAAATTACCCTCAGCTTTTGAAACTGCAGAAGCATTATTTAACCATGTTTTTAGATTATTTGGCATAACAGAAAAATCTGATTGTGGCTCTCAATTTATTTCTGCTGTGTGGCCTGCTTTCTTTGAACACCTTGGTGTAAATATAAGTTTAACATCTGGATATCATCCCCAGTCTAATGGATAATGTGAAAGGGTCAACCAAGAACTAGGCAAGCTTCTCGGAATATATTGCCACGAAAACCAGTTGGACTGGGCCCAATTCTTACCTTGGGCCGAGATGGCTCAGAACTCTCTCGCTAGCTCCGTTACAAACATCACTACTTTTCAGTGTGTGCTAGGTTAATCAACCTACACTTATGTCCTGGACTGCTGATACCACTGACATTCCAGCTGTGGACGAATGGATGAAGAGAAGTGAAGAAGTCTGGGCTTCGACACATCAGTTCATTGAACAAGTTATAAGGAGGAATAAGGCCCAGGTTGATCGAGGTTGGGGTGGCACGCCCCATATCAATCCAGAGACTATGTGTGGCTATCAAGTAAGGACTTCAGGTTTGAGGAGGGTTGCAGAAAACACATGCCTAAATATAGTGGTACATTCAAAGTTTTGAAAAGAGTTAATTAAGTTACTTTCAAGCTTGGTTTACCCAGACAATACTGTGTCTCACGCTTGTTTCATGTTTCCCTCCTTAAGCCAGTTGTTCCAGGTCAGGCCATGCCTGATGTGTAGCCACCACTGTCGCTTTTGTCAGTTGATGGAGCCCCAGTCTACATTGTTTGCAGTTTGTTGGACTCCAGGTGATGAGGAGGTCGTCTACAGTATATGGTGGACTGGAAGGGGTATGGTCCTGAGGAGCATAGCTGGGTAGCGGCACAGGACATTCTGGATCCTGGCCTGGTGACAGAGTTCCACCATTTACACCTTAACAAGCCAGCCCCTCATTCCAGAGGATGTCCCAGGAGCCAACCAGGTGAGCCCCATGGGGGTCTTGCTGGTGGATGTCCTAGGGGTCAGCCGAAGAAGATCTCATCCTTCTAGCTCCTTGTCAGCTCCAGAGGTTCCATCCCCGGTGAAATAGGTAGGTGGTCGTTGCAGTCGCCCTCATCCCTCGACTGCACCAGAATCCTTGGGAGGGTACAGTCATGCCTCCTGCCGAGGATACCTCCTCTACTGGTTCCCTTTCACCTGTCAGCTCACTTGAGTCAGTGGACTGTCTGGAAAACTCCAGTTCATGATTCATTGGGAGATCACATGACTCCTCCATTATCACCAGCAACCAATAGACATTCATTGCAGCGCACCACCTCACCTGAGTTCTGAGTCTACACACCTGTTTTCAATTACTTGTAATCAGTTGGTTTGTAATAAACCCAGGCTTTAGTTTAGCACTTTGTGAAGTAGTGCCAACAGTTCCTGTTGCATACTGAGCGTTGCTTGTCTGTAAGCCTGATCAGTGTATGACCTGTTTTTTTGTGTTTTTTGACTTTGCCTTTTGTGTTTGCCTTTTTGGTTTGATTGCTAGACATTACTGATCTCTTGTTTTTTTGAACTAGTGGATTCTCTCTGGATGTCCTCCTTGGTTTGGTTATTGTGAGGAGAAGGAACTGAAAAAACTCAAGCAGAGCAAAGCAGCGAGACCTGATGGCATTGAACCTAGGGTGCTGAAACTGTGTGGAGTAGCTGTGTGGAATTCTTCAGCACATCTTTAATCTGAGCTGCAGCCTGAAGAGAGTCCCAGTTATGTGGAAAACATCTTGTGTGGTTCCTGTCCCCAAGAAAAGGCAACCAATAGCGCTGAATGATTACCAACCGGTGGCACTGACATCCCAGCTGATGCTAGCTCATCTGAGACCTCTGGTCAGAACAGCTCTCGACCCTCTGCAGTTTGCATACCAGGATGGCATTGGAGTGGATGATACAGTTATCTACCTGCTGGACAGAGTGTACTCTCACCTGGACACATCAGGCAGCACTGTAAGGATCATGTTCTTTGATTTCTCCAGTGCATTCAACACCATACAGCCCGTGCTTTTAGGGGAGAAGCTACGGCTGATGCAGGTGGATGAATCTATTATCACATGGATAATGGACTGTCTTACTGGATGACCTTAGTGCGTGCAGCTGCATCTTCAAGTGTTCTTGATGACTTCAAGTGTCCTGAACAAATTGAACAAAGTTATTAGGAATGCTGGCTCA